TTTTTTATTTGTTGAACATCAATTAAATTGTTACTCTTAATTTGGTTTGGACGTTTTTTGTATTTTCTAGTTCGGGGAACAGACACAATCTCTATAGTGTGATATCTAGGTGAAAGGGTCTCTATGTGCTCAGAATGAACTGATTTCTTTGACGTGAGGCGGCTAGCAGACGGTCAGTTTATCCAGTCTGTCTGCTTCCTGACCTGGGCCTATGTGCCATATTTCTAGAGAGAAGAGCGGCACCACCCCTGGAGGGATGAAGACCATCTCTTTTCAACAGGTCAGGTCTGCCCCAAAACCTCGTCCAATTGTCTATGAAACCTATGTTATTCTGCGGGCACCACTTAGACATCCAGCTATTGAGTGACGACAGTCTGCTATGTTTCTCGTCGCCACGGTAAGCAGGGAGAGGACCAGAGCATATTACAATGTCTGACATCGAACTTGCAAGTTCACACACCTCTTTAACATTATTTTTAGTGATCTCCGACTGGCGAAGTCGAACATCATTAGTGCCGACGTGAATAACAATCTTACTGAATTTACGTTTAGCATTAGCCAGCACTTTTAAATTTGCCAAGATGTCAGGCGCTCTGGCTCCCGGTAAACATTGGACTATGGTGGCTGCCTGGTGTCTCTATTTTCACGTTCTGTACAATAGAATGGCCAATAACTAGAGCACTTTCATCAGGTTTCTCAGTAGGTGCGTAACTGAGTGGGGAGAACCTGTTTGATGTTTTGATTGGAACGGAAGAGCGGTGTTTTGACCCGCGACTATGCCGCCTCACAGTCACCCAGTTGCCCTGCTGCGGAGGCTCTGTTACCGGAACCGAACAATGTACAGGACTCCCTGAGCTAGTCGCATCCAAAACCGTATCTAGAGCCCTCACATTCTTACTGTCCTCAATTAAAGTTTGGATGCTCCCTGAGCTAGACGCATCCAAAGCCGTATCTACAGCCCTCACATTCTTACTATCCTCAATTAAAGTTTGGATGCGTGTCTCTAGTTCTAAAATCTTCTCTGTCAGCCTAAATATTTCCCTGCATTTATCACATGTGAATCCCTCATCGCTGACAGAGAGAGCTAAACTATACATGTGGCAAGCGATGCAAACAACAATAGCAGGAGAAGAAGCCATTACTCACCGTGATTGATGAATGATTCCGACTTACCACTGTTGTTTGATGAACTCGTGAAAAACGGACCGAAAGAGAAAAGAAACGGTGCGAGAAAAGCGAAACTACATGGAGCTACAATCGCAAACCACTCAGCAGCACGGCAGACAGAGCCTAAGACAATTTGTTTTGCACCAGTCCACAAAACTCTTTAAAAGCTCCCTATATTCACTCTCATCATGATCCTTTATACAGCCAACAATTGCTGAGTCATCAGAAAATTTCTGGAGACGACAGTTTTTGGAGTTATACTGGAAATCTGATGTATAAAAGGTAAATAAAAACAGAGCTAAAACCGTTCCTTGAGGAACACCAGTGCTTGGGACACACAGTTCTGCATCCTTACATACTGTGGTCTATTTGAGAGGTAGTCAGTTAACCAGCTGACCATACTCTGATGTAATCCAGCATTTTCTAACGTATTCTTGAGTAACATAGGCTGGATAGTGTTGAATGCACTAGAAAAATAATTTTTTAAAATTCTAACAGTGTTACCTGACGTCTCTAGATTGTTTGTTTTGTTTGTTTGTTTTATTTATTTATAAAGCACAATTAAAACAACGTAACGTTGACCAATGTGCTGTACAATCTCTAAATAAAAATTACACAGTATTAACTTTCAGACAAACAATGACCAACAACAACAAATGTTATAAAAAAGCCTCTTGCTAATTAGTCTGCAGAACCAAACGCTAATTCAAGTAAATGCACTTTTAATTTTCGTTTAAAATAACCTAATGACGGAGACAGTCTGAGATGTAGAGGTAGCTTATTCCAGCGCTTCGGAGCTGCTACTGCAAATGCCCAGTCACCACTCAATTTCAGTCTAGTCCTTGGAATGTCTAGGATCATTTGATTTGCTGATCTGAGATACCTGGGTGGTTTGTGTATACGAAGGAGATCCACTAAATATGGTGGGGCCAAATTATGCAATGCTTTATATACAACAATCAGTAGTTTAAAATAAATTCTGTACTGCACTGGCAACCACTGACGTGACGCTAAAATCGGTGTTACATGCTGTTTTTTACGAGTACCTGTTAAAAGCCTAGCAGCCGCATTTTGAACCAATTGAAGATGATTTAACAATACTTGGCTAATACCTACATACAGTGAGTTACAGTAATCTAGTTTTACAGAAATAAAAGCATGAATAATCCTTTCAAAATCACTGGAGGACAGAAATGGTTTAACCTTTGCTATTGATCTTAAATAGAAGAAACAAGATTTGACCACGGAGTTGATCTGTTTATTAAATTTCAAAGAACTATCAAATTGGACACAACTAGACAATGGGGCCGTTTTAGAGTAATGTTGACCAAAATGGACTGAAAACGATGACAGGTATAAAAAGATTTGTATAAAAGATCAATAATAAGCTGATATATATATATATATATATATATAATAAAAGTACACAAGTAGTACAATACATTATATGTAAAATTAAAAACTTAAATGATACAAAAATACATAAATTTAAATCTACGATTAAAACGCAGTGAACGCAGAATATATTTTAACATCCAAAATACTTTAACATTTCGTTGAGGTAACATTATGTAGCACTCAGAAGTTGTGTAAATATATATTAATTATTGATCATAAAATCAATAGCACATGATATTTATAAATAAAACCATTTTATTTCAGACAGACTGAGAAAATAAAGTGGCTGGAGTAGCACATCAACTACATGCGCTAAACATTGTGTTGCGTTTCACTATTGACAGCTTTCTTGACTGCCTTAACTAATTGACTTATACGCATCGTAGTGATCCAGTCATGTGACATCTTAGAGGTGATCAGCTTCCTGTCAATAAACAGCTTTCCAGCATGTGGGATTAAATGATGGGATTACAGCAGACTCTGGATGAAGATTGACATGCTGTTTCCAACCAGCGATATCTCACTCCAGTAATCCCATCAGCCAGTGCCAAGGACTTCCTGTCCACCTACAAACCCCTTCAGATTTGATTAAACGTGTAATTGGGTCTCTATGGACAGCGGCGCTAGCGCACATAATCATGTCCCCCGTGTCGCTTGTGCTGCTGATGTTGCTTCATGTTCATGCTAATCTAAACTTCACACAGATATATGAACCCTGTCCAGCTTCTTTCCATAATATGTCACATTATGGCAGTAAAATGGGTTGCAGATATGTGTTTGAACCTTAGCGTGTAGGAGGATATGCTAATTATATGTTTTTGTATGTGGTTGTTCCTTTTTGAGATAGTAATAGCATAAAAGTACAGGCTTTCAGACGAGGCTCCGATTAAGGCGTTAACATCAGTGTAGAATTACTAAAAGATTGTCTACTACAAGTTTAACCATTTGAAACCAGCTTTAGGTGTCAAACTGTGACTTCTAGCTCCTCGTGTTTGATTTAAATATGTGTGTGGCCCTTTAAATGTGCTTGTTCTTGTTTTCATCTGAGGTTTCCTCTAACCTTGTTTGTGTTGTGTTGCAGGTCATCGTTACAACACCAATGGAGATGCTGAAGATTCAGCTGCAAGATGCCGGAAGAATCGGTAAGAATTTAGACTAAAAAAAGAGGAAGGAATGAAGGGAGGTGAAGTGAGAAATGAAGACACAGGACTGATAAGAGAGACGAAGCACTGCCACCTTGTGGTCACATTTTTGTACATTAGTGTCAGATTTTTACATAATTTTGTCATTTTTACACATTGAGCAGAACATTGGCTATTTATTTGTGTTCTGCTAAATTAATACTTTAATGAATGCATACGTTAGTGAACGTTTTAGTGAAGTACTGGGAAGATGAAATATGTCTTATAAAAAGTTACTGTCAGCAGTAATTCATCAATATAGGGGCAGTCATGGCCTAATGGTTTGAGAGTCGGACTTGTAACCCGAAGGTTGTGTGTTTGAGTCTCGTACTGGCAGGGATTATCGGTGGGGGGAGTGAATAACCAGCGCTCTCTTCCACCCTCAATACCACAAATGAGGTGATATGGCTGCCCAATGTTCTGGGTGTGTGTTCACTGCGGTGTGTGTGCACTTGGATGGGTTACATGCACAGCACAAATACCAAGTATGAGTCAGCATACTTGGCCACATGTCACTTCACTTCATATATTATTCAGTACAGCTGAATATTATTTATTCAATGTATTAAATATTATATAACGTTTTTTAAATATCTGCTTTTAATATATTTTTACTAAATACTGAATATTAAATATTTTTCAGTATTAGTTTTTTTCATATATTTTTAAATATTGATTTTTTAAAATGCTGAATACTTTTTACTATACTTTTTACCTTATTATTTTTTCTTTTTAAAGTACTGAATATTAAGTCATAGTAAGCAGTACTAAATATTATTTTAAATACGAAATATTATTTATTATATATATATAATAAAAAATATCTTCATACATTTAAAACGGCCCAGAGGAAGCTCATGCCTCAGGCTGTGACCCCCGAGGGCCCCGTGGAGTTGAAGTCCCCCACAGCTATGCAACTCACCAGACAGTTACTGAAGGAAAAGGGCATCGCGGGTCTTTACAAGGGCCTGGGAGCCACGCTGCTCAGGTTGGGGAACAAACATGCAAACATATGACACAATCAGTCGTCAGATCACAGACTCTCAGACTATCTCAGCTCTGTGTTTCCCTCCCTTCAGGGATGTCCCGTTTTCTATCATTTATTTCCCTCTGTTTGCTAATCTGAATAATCTGGGGAAGAGAGGAGTCGACGGTCCCGCTCCCTTCTACGTCTCGTTCATATCGGGCTGCATTGCGGGCAGCACAGCCGCCGTCGCTGTCAACCCTGTAGATGGTGAGCTTCTCTTCACTGAAACGTCTTAATCATGATGTTCTGAAAATCATTGCTGCTCCTGATCCTGATGCTCTGTTCCAAAACCTAGTGAGCTGCCTACGGAGGAAGCATTTTAAAGCATCCTAGAAATACTTCTGACGCAAATGCTGTACCACAAAATTTGTTTTGGCCTAATTTTGCACTGAGCTCAGTGGAAAAATACGCACTAAAGAGCAATGACAAATACATTTCAGTCAATCCTAAAAATATGAATAAAAATAGTTCTAATCTAATTAAAGTAAATATGAATGTAAATATAATCTAATTAAACATTTTCAACATTTGTTTTTTTTCAATAAAAAAAATGAATATTAAGTATTGAATACTTTTTATGTTTTTTAACACTAAATATTATTTATTCATTGTATTCAATAATGTATTGATTTTTTCAGTATTAGTTTTGTCTGTTCATAAAAATACTAAATATTAAATATTTCATATTAGTTTTGTGTATTTTTTTAGTACTGAATATTAAAGATTTTTTCAATATGTTTTCTTTTCTGATTTTTGAATTGCTGAATATTAAATATGGCATATTGTTTCAATATTTTTTCCCCCCAGTTTTTAAAATACTGAAAATATTGTATATTTTTTATATTAGTTTTGTCTGTTTTTAAAAATACTAAATATGAAATATTTTTATATTACTTTTGTCTATTTTTATTATTGAATATTAAAGACTTGTTATGTTTTTTAACACTAAATATTATTTATTCATTGTATTCAATAATGTATAGTAGGGATGTAACGATTACCGGTTTGACGATAAATCGTGATAAAATACCCCACGGTTAGTATTACCGTTTCATATTTTAATTATCACTATAACCCTTTATTTAAACGCTGAAATGTGAGGTTTACCATTTATGAAACTTTTTCAAAGCTTTATTTGAACATTTACATTAGATATTTCAACATGCTATTAAACTGTTGTCAGTCATGTTGTCATTTAAAATCCGGACATCATTGGCAATGTTATTGTTTTAGTTATGCAAACAAAATCTCATTTTATTTGTTGTTTGTTGATTTTAAATGTAAAACTTGGTGAAATTATTTGTGTGTCAGTACTTTTTGAACATTTCCAGCACATTTTAACAATACCGTGATAATACTGATAACCGTGATCATTTTGGTCACTATAACCGTGATAAGAAATTTTCATACCGTTACATCCCTAATGTATAGATTTTTTCAGTATTAGTTTTGTCTATTTATAAAAATACTAAATATGAAATATTCCATATTAGTTTTGTGTATTTTTTTAGTACTGAATATTAAAGATTTTTTTCAATATGTTTTCTGTTCTGATTTTTGAATTGCTGAATATTAAATATGGCATATTTTTTCAATATTTTTTCCCCCCAGTTTTTAAAATACTGAAAATACTGTATATTTTTTATATTAGTTTTGTCTGTTTTTAAAAATACTAAATATGAAATATTTTTATATTACTTTTGTCTATTTTTATTATTGTATATTAAAGACTTGTTTTTCTTTTCCATTTTCGAATTGCTGAATATTAAATATTGCATTTTTTTCAATATTTGTTTTTTTTCTTCAGTTTTTAAAATACGGAATATTAAATATTGCATGTTTTATATTGCTTTTGTCTATTTTTAAAAATACTATATATTAAATATTGAATATTTTTATATTAGATTTGTACATTTTTATTATTGAATATTAAAGAGTTTTCAATGTTTTTCTTTACTGGTTTTGAAATGCTGAATATTAAATAATGAATATTTTTCAGATTTTTTTCTTCAATTTTTAAAATACTGAATAACACATTTTTGTATTAATTTTTGTCTTTTTTTATGATTGAATATTAAATACTATACATTCTTTAGTGTTTGTTTTGTTTATTATTTATAACTAAATATGACATTTTTTCAGTATATATTTTTAACATTTTTAAAATACTAAATATAATATATTGCATTTTTCAATATAATTTTTTTTCTATTTTTTTTAAATGTATGAAAATGTATGAAATATTGATTATTTTTGTCAATTTTTTTTCTCCATTTTTTTATATTGAATATTAAATGTTGTATATACATGTGATACACAATGCAAACTTTGTTTAAAAAAAATTGCCTGTCGAGTCTCAATTGATACGAGTTGCTGCTTACCTAGAATGTTCCAAACCAGTCCCGTTTCATCTCTGTCGGTATGCTAAGTAGGCAGTATGCAGTGAAGCAGCTCGCTAGCTTTTGGAACGGAGCCTGTATGTGAGCAAAAACTGTTGTGCAATGCAAAAAGCAACATCTGTGTGGTTTCGTAACTGACCGTTGAACCGTGTGTGTGTGTGTGTTTCAGTGATAAAGACCAGGCTACAGTCGCTGACACGAGGGAGTCAAGAGGACACTTACAGCGGGGTGACCGACTGCATCAGGTGATCTGCTTTTTATTGGCCAGTGAGGTCATCAGGTGACATTATTTAACTAATACCATTGATTTGGGTACCAAACGTCTGAACTTTTTTTCCATTTTTGATCCATTTTCCATCTGATCACAGGAAGATTCTACGCAAAGAAGGTCCTGCTGCTTTCCTGAAGGGGGCGTACTGTCGAGCTCTCGTCATCGCGCCGCTCTTCGGCATCGCTCAGGTGGTTTACTTCCTCGGCGTAGGCGAACTCATCTTGAGCTACCTGCCCAAACGAAACAACTAACCACCCATCCCATCATGCATTGCACCAGTCGGTTTCCCGCCCCCCTCACAGGTCACCATTACCGAAGGATCAAAGCGTAACGTGGACCAGTCTGATTTAAATCGTTTGTTGTTGTGCGTTTGTGTTCAAAGCGTCGTGTATTTTTATCTGAATGTGGTGGTTTTAATACTGAGCGTAAAGTGAGATTGTGTTTGCCAAGCTGCCTGTTTTTTTTGTCTCGTCCGGTCTCACGCTGAGACAAAATGATGTTCTGAATGTGGTGGTTTTAATACTGAGCGTAAAGTGAGATTGTGTTTGCCAAGCTGCCTGGTTTTTTTTGTCTCGTCCGGTCTCACGCTGAGACAAAATTATGTTTTTTTACGGGCGTTTAATCGTTGAGCCATCATCCGATCACTGATATTTAAAGCGTAAAATCAACACTTAGAATCATAGAGCTCTTGTTAAATATGTACTGAAATATCAACCCAACATGAAGCTCTTTCTAATTGTTAATTTCCTGGAACAAGTGGACATGTCATGTTGATTAGTTTGCCCTTTATATTAGCTGCTTCCGTCTTTCTTACGACCAAATCTGAATGCTTTTCCTTTGGGCTCAGAATGACCTTGAAGAAAAGTGGAAAGACTAAAGTCTAAAGTGTGACCTGAGAGCAGCATATCTTTGTGCCCTATCAAGGCTTTATTCAGCGTGTGTTTCAAAATGGCAAGTCGGCTCTGGAGGTTAATTCAATTTAATTTCTCAGAAAAGCTGTGAGAGACATATCTGTGAATGGAAAATGTGAATTAGACTTGAAAGCATCTCTCAAATTGACTGAATCAAAATTTAAATGCCTCCAACCAGGGGCGTAGCGGCTATTAAAACTTCTGGAAAGTTCCCAGACTTTAGGAGATAATCATTATAGATTATGAGATTCGTTTTGCATGGCCACAGCACAAAGAAAATTTATGTAAATGATTTTTTTTGGCCGATCTGACTCCAATCGCTACTGTTTCACTACTTGAAGCTTGAACAGCAAAATTAGCATTAAATATGGTCTTAAACCTGATTTAAACCACATTTGTAGGTGCTTTGAAGTTTAATGAATGCATTTTGGGTATGGCAAGTAGTCTTTCTCCTCATTTAGGAAGGGACACGTATGTAACATCATACCAAGTGTGCAGTAATTATGCAAATGTTCAAAGTGCAAGCAGTTCTTACCAGTGTTGTTATTGCTTACTAATTACAACCATTAAAAACATTTTTGTTATAAAGTAAAGCGGAAATAAAATAAAACAGAAATATTAGATGGAAAAATGTAACTAAATGAAAATTAGAAATGTTTGGAATTATTAAAAAAGTGACAATAGCACATACGAAAATTGCCAAAAATTAAACTAAAATGAAAATGAAAAATTTGTATAAAAACAAAAGTTAATTCAAAATATTAATAGGAACTCTAATAGTATATACGTAAAGGAAATGAAAATAAGAAATGTTGCTTTGGGAACTAACTGAAATAGGTTTAAGTATTAAATGACTAACTGGAATAAAAATAAATTACAACTTTTTCGGATTATTTAAAAAAACACAACAAAACAAAACAAAAGCAAATAACAAAATTATCCAAAAAAAAACTAACATTAAAATAAAATGGAAATTAATTTTATAAAAATAAAAGCTAATTCAAAATATCAATAAAAACTATATTAGTATATAAATAATACAAAAATAACACTGGTTCTCGCTTGCGTACCAAATCAAATCAATTGGGTCTGGGCGAACATCATGTGACCTAATTAATATTCACGAGAAAAAGCGAATGCATTTTATATTGTGTCCCAACTACTGCAAACCCACTTTAGTAGTTACAGATTTCCCGCTACAAAAAAATTATTTATGAAAATTTTCGCAAACCCTAATGCAGTTTCTAGGTTCATATCTGTCGGTTGAGATCTAAAAAAGAATACTAATATACTAAATCAACAGAAAAAAACGCCAAAGTAATGTGCATATCGATTGCAACCTTGTCAACTATGATGGGCGGAGCTAATAATCATGAATATTAATGCACATTGGTTGTTTTCCCACGATGCACCGTCACCCTGCAGTGCATCATGGGAGATTTTATTAGTCATTCCAAGTTTGTCCGAGAAGCCGGAAAGCACAGACTTTGGATGGAAGTCATATTTATTGATAATCCTGATGATGTAGATGTAAACACACTTATAGTATATCTCACTATATATTTCTATGGATAGTTTTATCAGTGTCTGATTGTTTGTGTGATCATTGTTGATTACTGTGTACTGTACATATGCAGATGATATTATGAAGCGATTGTGTTTTTGGTTTTGTATAGGATGGCTTATTTGCACACCTCCCCGTTCCTTCTCTTTATGTTTTTGGCATCAGGAAGAGTGAATATGCCCATTTACGCCGTTTGAGCCGGGCCTGTAATGTATCAGTGTTGGAATCATGAGCTTGTTGTTCACGCTAGTGTGCACTACCAAAGGAACCGAACAAACCCCAACGCTTTCAGGTCTCGTTTACTTGACGCTGTTTGTTTTTATTTCTCGCAGAGGCGTTCGGATCGATCCGCAGCCTATTGTGGGCCGTCAAAAAGACAGTGTTTTGGCTCACAATAGTGCTGTCAGGACGCGCCGGCGGCTGGAGCGAGATAAGCGCTGCCTATGTGTGCAATGAAGAGCGTAAATATGGCTCAAGCTGACAAACACTCGAGTCTGTTTTATACTGCCAAACGATTCCTGACCTAATACCTCTGACTCCTTTCCCAGTTCATGCTTTAGTACACTGGTTTGCTAAACTCATCTGGTTATTAGCTGAATATACACTACCGTTCAAAAGATTGGGGTCACAAAGATTTCTTTAATACTTTTATTCAGCAAGGATGCATTCAATTGATCAGAAGTGACAGTAAAGACATTTATAATGTTACAAAAGATTTCTGTTTCAATTAAATGCTGTTCTTGTGGACTTTCAAAGAATCTTGAATCAAAGCATATTGAATCAAAGAATCTTGAAAAAAATCTATCATGAATTTCACAAAAAATTAAGCAATTAACTGTTGTCAACATTGATAATAATGTTGCAAAAAAACAAAACAAATAAATGCTACTCTTTTGAACTTTCAAATAATTTTGAATCAAAGACTCCTGAATCAAAGAAGACTGAATAAAAGAATCTTGAAAAAAATCTATCTTGGATTTCACAAAAATATTAAGCAGCACAACTGTTATCAACATTGATAATAATATTGTAATGGTGCAACAAAAAAAATGTATTTAAAAAAATTATGTTCTTTTGAACTTTCAAAGAATTTTGAAACAAAGAATAAAAGAATCTTGAAAAAACTGATCACTGATTTCACAAAAATATTAAGCAATTAACTGTTATTAACATTGATAATGTTGTAATGTTTCAAAAAACAAAAAACAAAACCAGAATATTAAATAAATGCTGTTCGTTTCAACTTTCAAATAATTTTGAATCAAAGAATCCTGAATCAAAGAATCTTGAAAAAAATCTATCATGGATTTCACAAAAATATTAAGCAGCACAATTGTTATTAACATTGATTATAATATTGTAATGGTGCAACAACAACAACAAAATTCAAATAAGTTCTGTTCTTTTGAACTTTCAAAGAATTTTGAAACAAAGAATAAAAGAATCTTGAAAAATAATGATCACTGATTTCACAAAATATTAAGCAGTTAACTGTTATCAACATTGATAATAATGTTGTAATGTTTAAAAAAAACAAAAACAAAATCAGAATATTAAATAAATGCTGTTCTTTTGAACTTTCAAGTTATTTTGAATCAAAGAATCCAGAATCAAAGAATCTTGAAAAAAAGGATTTCGCAAAAATATTAAGCAGCACAACTGTTATCAACATTTAATGTTGCAAGAAAATTATTTCAAATAAATACTGTTCTTTTGAACTTTCAATGAATCTTGAATCAAAGAATACTGAATCAAAGAATCTTAAAAAAAAAATCTATCTCGGATATTCTATCAACATTGATAATAATGTTGTAATGTTGCAAGAACATTATTTAAAAAAAAAAATAAAATAAAAATCAAAGAATACTGAATAAAAAAAAATCTAAGAATTCTGAATAAAAGACTCCTGAAAAACATGTATCAGTTTCTACACAAATAAAGACTGTTCTTTTGAACTTTCAATGAATCTTGAATCAAAGAATACTGAATCAAAGAATCTTAAAAAAAAAATCTATCTCGGATATTCTATCAACATTGATAATAATGTTGTAATGTTGCAAGAACATTATTTAAAATAAATAAATAAATAAAAATCAAAGAATACTGAATAAAAGACTCCTGAAAAACATGTATCAGTTTCTACAAAAATAAGAAGCAGCACAACTGTTTTCAACATTGATAATAATCAGAAAAGTTTTTGAGCAGTAAATCAGTATATTAGAATGATTTCGGAAGGATCATGTGACACTGAAGACTGGATTAATGATACTAAAAATTCAGCTTTACATTACAGAAATAAAATACATTTTAAAATACATTAAAACAGAAAACAGTTATTTTAAATTGTAATAATATATCTCAGTTTTTACTGTATTTTTGATCAAATAAATGCAGTTTTTGTGCGCACAAGAGCCTATATTTAAAAAAATATTTACAAATCTTACCGACCCCAAACTTTTAAACAGCAGTGTATTGTAAAATGTCACTAATGAATATGACACTTGCGCTAAATAATCAATATCCAGAGGTTCAGAGGGTTTATGGTGCTGTCTAACAAGTAAACATCTCTAGTCTCGGTGACGATGAGCTTTATGCCATTTGAAACTGTTCAGATGCTCTTATTTATTGTTTTAAGGTCATAGGTCGGACTTTACAAGGTCAACGCGTGCACAACCCTTCTGACCGGTTACCTCACATATCGTTAATTGTCTAAATGAATGCAAATGGTATTAAAATGGAAGTATGTCTCATGCCTAATATGAATCTGACCTTAATGACCTTGTTTTGCCTTGTATTCGTTTTGCCAGCGCGTTTTCCCGAAACATTCCAAAAGATCTGTGATTACTTTTGTTGTTGTTTTGCGTCGATTTTATTCTGTTGTTTTGTGATGATTTAGTCGTATTTAGACTGTTTTTTTGGTTTCTAAATTGTATTTGTTTGAATCGTACCTCTGATTTGCGTCGTGTTTTTTCAGCTGTGAACTCATTGTGTTTGTGAACGTTGGTGTATTGTGTGTG